TATATATATTATATATATATAACCTCGATAACATTACGCAAATTCTAGACAGACGTTTCATCTAAATGTGTGTAACATGCACGCGCGTTTTATCTAGATAATAAGTCCTAATTAACTATATACTTATATTCTTTCTGCATATAATATAGAGATCACAGTATACAAGAAGCCAGATATTTTTCAATATGTCACTTATATCATACCTGTCTCATTCATTATCTCATTCGCTCGCTTTAATTTTCATTTTTCAATTTCATATTTTCAAGCTTTACATTTTCAATTTTATATTTTCAAGTGCAAAAATACAATTAGCAATCTTCTTAAATTTGTTTCCTAATTGTATATGCGTCTTGTTTCTTCACGTTTCTTTTTTTCTACTTGCGGACTTTCGTGGTTTATCTTGTGGATAAACCTCGAATAAAAAGTCGTGGAATGTAAGCCACAATCACACAGGCAACAAACATAGAAATTTCGAATATAAATTTTGATAGTAAAATATATATATATTTTTTTTCTATAGATAAATTTATATATTCTAACTCTGGCCCCGAATTTCCATAAGATTCTTGCACTATTCTTCTAATATTCATCTTTCGTTCGCATTTACAATTTATTATATAGCTCAGTTCATTAGTTCAAGTTTATATACAGTTTCTACAACGTATCATCGATTATATGATACTCGATTATGGTGCATTCTTGATGCGAATGCATCGAGCTTAAGGGATACATATTGGTTCCAAAATCATGATACATCGAGTTTTTTTGGAACAATCGACTAAATACATAAAACGTTCTCTTATTAAACGGCAAATGTTCTTGGCACAAATATGTCAAAAAAACGGAGAACCATTTCGGTGCATATACAGTAAGAGCTTGAGAAAATCCAGTTAAATGTTTCCTTTAAAATTTATGTATGTATAAAATTTCCGATCTATATGTGTCACAGATATACATAATTATTAAATTGTCGTGAAAAAGATTTTGTCAAGCTCTTTATACTACGGAAACATTAATAACATAATTGTTCTGTGATGTATTTACACTGAATATTTCAAATCAAGTAGTCTTTCTTTGGGATCGACCTTATTTATAGGCTACGTTTCGCCAAGAAAAAAAATAAAGTACATCACAGAATATATACCTAAGATTAAGAAAAAGAGGAGCAGAGAAACGCATAATAAAAGAAAGACCTGGTAACAGTTTTCCTTCTGGCATTCTTTGTACATTGAATCGTCGTATGTATGTTCTTAAGTGCACCTAAGACCGTACGTTTCATACACATCTTGTCGTTGTAAAAGTGGAAAGAAAATTGCTCGGTTTGGGTAATTCACTCCGTTACGAGGAGAAAGCAGGGAAAGGGATAGAGCGGAATATCCGCGAATATTCAGCTTCACATTGAAGCGTCTATCATTGTCGGCATTGAAAGCAAATCTGAGGAGGAGAGGAGAGGGAACAAATCGTTATCCGATTTGCCGTGAGGAGATACACTCTCTTTATGTGTTTCTTATCACATTCTTACATATAACGACGAAATGGAGAGGATTCTTATAATTCAAAGTTGCAGTTATTCTATAATTGCAACTTTGAATTCTCGATAAACACACAAAGCACATATATAGGACGTAAAATTTAATTTCTTGATTTTTAAAGAATTCCTCACCTTTAGAGCGTCAATGTGCGAATTGAATAAACATGAATGCTCTCTTTCTGACGATTATTCTCAAAAAGTCTTATAATGTGCTAAAATCGTAGCTTTTATCACGTTTTGTCCTGCGATTTATATTTCGCGCGTTCTACGATTTATTAATGATTATAAAATCTCTAATCATCGATATATCTCTTTACAATTATCATTGGATGATTTTGAGATTAGATCTTATCTTCGTCATCGTATTTCTGAGTTTTGTCGATAAATTACGCTTTGGATTCCATCTTTTCCCATCTTGAAAACCTTCGCATATCTTTGTACAGATATCACTCAGTAACCGATGTGGAACCCTTCTTACGTCGAGGTCATTTCGCCGCCGATTCCCAGTCTGCCGTGATGCAATTACGCACAATCATTGCGTTCCTACCATCGCTAGGTCCCGCGTCACTTCCTCTCTTCCGGCTCCTGATTGGTTTTAACGAGATTGTATGCGTGACTTCTGTACTTGGCAGGTGGGTCGTGTAATGATAGAGGCTGCTGTTGCTGTTCGCTCAGTTGGTTCATGCTGGATATTGGGTCATGTAACGATAGGGGCTGTTGCTGCTGCTGCTGCTGCTGCTGCTGTTGCTGCTGCTGTTCGCTCAGTTGGTTCATGCTGGACATTGAGAGATCCGTCGGCATGTCTATTTCCGGTTCCGCCTTGGGACTTCCGAAAAGAGTCCTTTCCTCCTCTGGTTCCGACTTTATTCGCATCTGATGGCGCAGCGATGATATGTTCTTGATGTTTTTCAATTCGATCGAATTACGCAAGAATCTGCAAAGAACATAGATGACACATTTTCTTTTTACTCAAAGATAATTTTTTTCATATTCTAAATGAGAAATTTGTATTTCTTGTGTTGAAAATTATTCTTCAACTGTTCAGTAGCATCAAAAATTATTCTTGTAATAGCAGCAGCAAAGATAAATTTTAATATTAGTTTTATTAAAATTATTTCAAAATTAACAAACTCATATTTATTATCTCTATTGCATTTTTTGTATGACAGACTAATTATTTAATATATAATAATACTTACTGATAACAATGACGTTCGCCTTGTACTTTTCTAAGTATGTTCACGCGGTAATAATAACGTAAAGCTCTGCTCATTTTGTCATAATTCATAGAGAGATGATTTTTCTGGATGCCCCAGAGTTGTGCTAGACCAGGTGGATCGACAATCTTGAAGACACCAGTTTCTCGACTTTTCCACGAGATGTAATGCTGGTACCGTTGCGCGGGGTCGTTCAGCAATTGCTGAAGGAAGTCCCAGAGCAGTCTTCCGTCTAAACAGAATGACGGAAATTGTGCTACAAATTGTCATAATAATAATCATGAGAAGGTTAAAATAACGGTACACACACACACACACACTCTCTCTCTCTCTCTCTCTCTCTCTCTCTCTCTCTCTCTCTTCGATTTTATATTTAAAATATTCTATGCTGCATATGCAAGTAATATTAAAAGAAAGATTATGGCATTTCTTACAATTAATTATTTCTGCCAATAGATTTAAAAATCGCGGGCAATAGCAAATACTAACTGGTGTTGGGTTCCGACGAATCGTTAGGGAAGAACTCTCTCGTGATCGATCGAAAAGTACCGGGCGTCAGCGGCATCAACTGATGCGGTAACGTTGGGCTCGGTTGGTCCTTGACGCTCACCTCACTGAGCCTCTGTGCCGTCAAAGCGGTCGGTGTAGCTGGTGGACTGCTATTGCCGCTTGACACCTGGTGAGTGTTGTCTTCGTCCGAATCGCTCTTATAGACTTGCGTCTGATTCGCGTCGGTCGCGTGACTGGGTGAACCAGACTGACTGTCGACAGACGGTGCTGGCGATAGTGTCACTGAGTTGGCCGACATTAACGAGGCGAGATTCGAGGCGTATGGTGGCGTCTCCGTCCATGGTGTAGGCGGATGTGAATGTGGACTCAGCGGATATGTGGACGGTCTGGTCGGTGTCACTGGACTGTTGGGTAGGCATCTCTGTAGCTGACTGTAATCACGCACCAGCATTGTCAGCACGTTGTGCAGCACGTCGCCAGCACTTGGACACCTCTCGCCCATATCGGCCTTGGTCAGCAAGCACAGAGCCTTGCCGTTCATCTGGAACACGTCCATGTCGAACGGTGGCAGGTCAAATTCCCGTTCAGCCCACCGCAGGAACGCTGCTACGTCCTCCCTCGACCACAGTCTAGGGTCGGACACTGAAAGGAGAGAAGATGCCATTGGTTGTATTCGTGGTGACCTTTGTAACCACTATGCGGTTTAACATCGTCTATACGCCTTCATAATTAATTTATTGATTTCTATTTCCTTTAATGAAGTCAGCAGCAACGAATTAATATTAATATGAATAATACGAATTAATCGAGGAATTAATTTAAAAGAATTTTTTTGTAGCAATTAAAGCGCAATAAAGAAAATCTTCGGCTTCGTTTATATTCGAGTAAACTTTGTACAAAAATTTTACGAGACTGGAAATTAAACGGATAGTAAAACTTTAATTTTGTAAACTTGTGAAAGGATTATTTTTAACTTTTTTATGATACTTACCTAAATTCGTTGGTAGATGAGTTTTAAAATCCAAGAGGGAACTGGGCGGTGGATGCGTTGTAGGCGGGAAACCCATCGAGGGCCCATATTGGGCCCTCCAGAGTGCCCAGTCCGGACATAAAGGCAAAGATATACCCGGAGGCAGCCGAGGTTCCATTCCGGCCATTCCGCCAGCGGCGGAAACCGGCGGTAGCTGCGATATCTGAATTGGTGGCAGCAATTTCATAACACGCCCTCAGATCTACTACTTGCTTCTGTAACAGAAGAAATAAATAAAATTTATATTAACATGTCTGACTTTTAAAAATCCTGTGATTTCATTTTGTAATTAAGCTCGATTATGCATAGAAAGAAGAGTTTTGCTGAAGTATCTAAAAATTTAACTATACGTAGATACAGATCTAAAAATAATTTTGCTAGACTATTAAAATAATTATATAGGATACTTAAAATAATTGCTAGACTATTAAAATTTTTTGCAACATTACTCATTCTGAATGTCCTTCATAATTATTTTAATAGTCCAAAATTATTTTCAGATCCAGCTAAAATTTTAGACACCCCAAAATTGTTTTTTTCTCTGCATATACAAATTTAATATAAATCGATTTGCATAATCTTTAATCTTGCAAATATTTTATTATCGTACAAAATAAATGCACCTTTACAATTTAATAATTAATTGACAATAGAGTATCGTTCTTCCTTTGGACATTATGTCTTCATTAAATCAACTAGATGCAACAGTATCGTTCGATCTATTTAGCGAGCGCGTAACACGAAACGATGTCGACGTCATTTCGACGCTACAGGCGCACGAAAGTGATCTCTATATTTATTTACGACCATGGAGACGCAACACTGTGTGACGTAAAGTGCAATCTTCCGTATCTATACCGTCGAAAATCGATCCCTCTGATATATAGCGCTTTACCTCGTCTAACGATCGGTTCGTCGATGTAGAACGATGGAAGATAATAATGCCAGATTACAGTTACACGTCAATTTCTTACAATGTGGACGTGGAACAAGCAAGATGATTCAAGAAGAAGAGAACAAGGAGACGAGACAAAAAGAGAATGGAAGAGAAGCGTCGCGACGGCGACGTTTTGAGGCGTCGTCGTTCTCAATTTCCTGATCAGCAACCGGTTCGCAGACGTTCGACTATTAGCATAGAATGTGGGGGCATAAGAATGAAAGCCGGCAGGAAACATGGATTTACATAACGTATTTCCATCGACGTCGACGAAGCTATTTCCGTTCTCGACGTCGGCTCGCGGAGACCCGAGACCGCCTAAGCGAAACTTCTTATAACCAACATGGAGATTCACTTTTGGACTTGTAACTTATGCTGTTCATTTCGAAATTTTTCCACTTAATTGTTTCCAGAAATTTCATTTAATTGCCATTGTTTATAACATATATCGGAACTAGAACTTGTTTCATACATTGAGAAATATTTCTGTTTAAAAAGTGAACGAACCAGAAGAATCTATTATTCTAATCATATTAATCAAAATTCTGATTATCTCAACAAAAATTATAACAGACTCAATCAGAAATTTTTGATTCGTCCATTTTCAATCAGAATTCCAATTAATGCAACCAGATTCTTTTTTCAGATAGTTTTAAGTAAGAATAGTCTTTGATTTAAGAGGATTTGCCATTAAAATTCAGAGTCAGTTTGTAAAGTTTATATCAATTTTTATAAGATAAGAGTTCTTGTGGTCCAGAATAGCATACGGAAACTCTTGCAATAATATTATGTTAGAATGTAAACAAAAAGAATCTAATTAGGAAGGATAAAGTAATGTAGCTTCTTCATCGATAATGAGGCTATTTGCATGATAATCGTATGTTTATAATCCATGTACTCGATCCATACACTCGATTAGATATAATTATTAACGTACTGGTGCGCAATTGCGCTTAATGTTGCGATATGTTATAGCAGCTACTTACACTTTAACTGGTGACATTGTAACACGAAAAAATCGCGGTTATTATTTGATTTAATATGTCTCATAACAAGTGGACTTATGATAGGAAAAAGCCTACTGACGTCACCGTATGTTCGATATTATCGAGGCTATATAAAATTGAACGTAACAACTATTGTAATACAATACTATTGTAACATTCTATATATATTTAATATTATCGCTGTTGAAGATTTCGGAACAATAAGCAAGTCTATTCTGTGTCTCAGAAAAAAGAAATGATATACTTACATAGAAGCACAATACTTTCATTTTATTTTATCTTTTCTATTTTTTTTTAATTACTACATATTTATATTATGTTGATTATTGCTGTAAATGGAAATGAATACAAGTAAAAATTCATTTTAAATTTAAAAAAGAAAACCGGTCTGCCATCATTTTTTTGTCCAAGATTTGATGATCGATGGGTTCCAGAATATTTTCAGCGAAAAAACTCTTCTTTTCATGACACTTCGAAAAATGATCGGAGGAAGTTCTTGGCGGCACAATTGCGGCGCGATGCTCGCTCGAGAAGAGAACAAGAGAGAGAGAGAGAGAGAGAGAGAGAGAGAGAGAGAGAAAGAGAGGATTGCCCTGAGGGAAGAAGGTAGGAACCTCGGCATGCGAAGGTCGATGTGCCGTTGTCTCGCACCAGGAAATCCTGGTCGTCTCTTCGGTCTTCCCCTCTTCATTCCTTTAAATACCGCGAGTAAGGCCTTATACTCAGGTGCTCCTTTCGGTCGGCGATTTTTTGCGACGCGGTTAATTAAAGCGGCTACTTGAAGCGACGTCGAGGGATGAATTTGATAATCTTTGCATCGCACCTGTTTCGAGACATAATTGCTTATGCACGCTTCTTGATGGCTATCACTCCGAATTACACAAGATGAAAGATCTACAAATATAAGAATCTTTGATGGTCATCAAAAATTGAACATCTTAGGTGATAAAATTTCAAAATATAGGTATAATCTTTGATGTTATCGCAGCTTTAAGATTGTCACATCCTAAATTTCTCATTTCTAAAATAATTTTTTCTTGATTTTCAGATAAAAAATTTCATGATTTTTCCTGATGTATTCAATAATATATCGATTTTTTTGTATCCTTATTGTTCCTGATTTAGGAATCACCAAATATTTTCTGAGAGAGCAATTTAACATAGAAATGTAAATTATTATTAATGTTGTTGATATTGCTTGCATTTAATTGTTAGTAGTATATAACTTTTGATATAATGTACGTAATTCTTGATTTTAGAAAATTGTACAAAATTCTATGACTTTTCTCTGACAATTCTCGGACCATTTTCAATTTTCTTGACATTTCTTTGATTTCCAGTTTTGCGGTGGCAACCGCAATAAATTTTGACCGAGACAATTTTAGCATATTGGAATGCATTCTCGAGAGATGGAAGAAGCGATAATTGCGCGAAGAAGGTAACAAGAAAACACCGGATTCTGCGGTTCCGTTTGCGTGTTTCTCTTGCGAACATTCTTTTTTTTTTTTTTGGTGATGAAAGAAAGGAGAACTGCGATCACTTTGCGAATTGCAGCGGAAGCGTCAGTAAAAAATTGTAACCGCGACGCCACTCGAGACTTCCGGTACGCGAGTGAAGGACGGAGAACACACCGGAAGCGCGTTCGATCGCGACGAGGTAACATTGACATTTCCGCGTTGCCTATTTCTTCGTGCCACGTCACGGTGTGTTTGCGTAATATATGTTTAAGTTCTTGAAAATCCCTGAGGACTTTTGAAGAAACTCCTTTTCTTCATTTTCAACATGAATCTCTGTAATTATTCTTTTA